CTAGGTACGCTTTGAGGCCACGTGAAGTGTCGAAAGCTCATTGATGGAATGTCATGAGATAGACCCAATAATTTCGGGCTAACTGACTGAGATTCCTGGCAGATGCACCATCTGCGCTCCCCACTGTGCCACCTGGCATGGTGGAAGTTGCTCACAAATACAAATATCCCCCCGTATAGCCAGAACAGACTGTTATGGAAGGTGCTGTTAACTAGCACCTATTAAGGCCAGCACCACATACAAGAGGGCGAATGACCAACTCCACGACCGGCCACCAGTGCTGAGGTTTACACACAGCACCAGGTATTCATGTAAAGCTGAGTCGACTAAGGGGACGCCCAGGGCCGATTCAGATATTTGCCACTGTTATCTGTCGTGAGCGGGAATCGAACTCGGGTTACTGGGTTCGTAGTGCAGTGCGCTAACCACTACCTCTTCCCACACTCACTCATTGGTGGCACTCACACCGACGCGTGTACTTAGAGACAAAGTAATGTGCATTTTTTTTGGGCTATCCATCGAACGAAGACAGTCACCGCATCGCACACTTTCAGATGCGCTTCTGTGGCCGTCTGGAACACTCTTTCTTGCGATATTAGGAAGCCACTAGACTTTTAAATTAACATTTTAAACGAATTGTTTCAGAACTGCTTTCTGTGTTTAGTTTATTGGCCTTCCCACCCACCTCCGATTAGCACGGTTGGCTATGTACGGTGTGAAAGAAGTTCAACATAAATATATTCATCTCACGGTGGCCTGCCGCTGCGTGTTGGCAACTCCTCCCAAGCTGGGACATGCTCAAGTGGCTGCACTTCAACCCACCACTGAGCCATCTGAGTCAATATTCACGGTTGAAAAGGAAACACTGATCCCACACGCACCGCAACCCAGAGGTTCAATACACGGATATAAATGAATGGGCATGACAGCGTTAGTGGCGTGCAGCAGCGGCGTGATGGTTCGCACGCTGGACTTGCAAGCCAGAGGTCGGCAATTCGATTTGATTCGATCTCCCGGCGCGGAAGTCGAAACGATGGCCCAAGTGTCTTTAAAATCTCCCCCCGCCTTTGCCCACCCAGCAGTGTAAATGGGTGCACCATAGTCGATCGGCAGGTTGTGTAAGGTGAAGAAGATTATTAAGATGATTTGGTGGCTAAAATTTCCACGCGATAAGCCACTTCGTTAAGCCATGATTTGTGGCCTGCTCGCTTCTGAAGAAGAAGCTAATATCTCAGTGGGCTTTGCCTGTTGTAGCGTTCTGATCCGCCCCAACTGGACATCTATGAAAAAAAGCTTTATAGCTAATCAGATTTCTCCAGTATGAATAAATATCATGATTCTGAAGTAAAGTGCAACATATCTTCGTGAAAGTGCCGAAAAAACATTAGGCCAAAATACATTTTTAGAGAGGCTCTTTAGAGCTCCCTCCCGTTGAGGTCATTCCGCCGATAGTGGCAGCCCCATACCCTTGTAAGGTGTTAGCGGTGTGGGAGTTGTGCTACTGTTGTGTGAGCCTGCATCGATCGGCGTTGTTTGTGTCTCCATGAATTATGCATGCGTTGCATTCCGCCCCTCTCCGTGATACAGCTCAGCGCCCTCGAGCAGCTCAGCCCACGTCTGTCTGCACCTGGCTCGATCTTGTTGTGCGCCGAGGAGAGTGCATTTCCCTACGCAGCCATGCACCCCACCGTCAGCCAAGGGAGTGAGTAGGAGAGAGCGGGGAGTGATGGGAGGCACATGAATGTGCTAGCCATGCTGTAAAAAAAAAATCTCATGCCAGGCTGATTCCACTTCTCATTTGCTGCTATTGATCACAGCTCTTGCCGAGAAGGGTAGGGTATCTTGAGGATTGTGTTGCATTCCCCTATTCCCTGAACTATACCAGGTGGAGCCATTGTGGGTGTCGTGGGTGTCGGGACAACCCCAAAATATTTATATATACTAATCTGTTTTATCGGGTAAGCCTACTGAGCTATTAGCTGTTTTTAGAGGCGACCTGGCCGCACATGATAGCTAATCGAAGTGGCTTACCATACGTGGGAATTTATAGTTGGCAAAGAATCTAATCTAAACGCATGTTTATAAATGCGGAGAAAGAGTCACACGACCACGGGGGAAAGAGAGAACATGCAAACCCCAAATATACAACAGGCATCGTCAGGGTCAGAATCAATCTCATGCCAGACGAGGGAGATAACACCTCCTCGGCCACTGCAAAGAGACACCTATAACGTCACGCTGATTGTGCTGACGATGGAACCTCTATTATACACAGTATCACACCGACAGCTGGTTCAGTTCTGAGTCACGGATCCCCCATCTGTAATCTGGCCAATAACCGCCGAGTACCATTCACTTCGTAGGGCACCGTCAACGTCCTGTGTGGCTGTGCAATGCACCGTACCTCTTTTTCTCCTTGGCACTGCCCGTGTGGCTGGTGAGCGATATGAGGGCACTGTGCAGCGTCCCCAAGTGCACCATTGCCTGCCTGGTTGACTCCAGAGCCTCTTGAACCTTTGATAACAAATGCACAATAACAAGCTTCTGTTATCATTATTATTATTACAGTTTCATCGTCTTTTTCCCCCAACCATTTATACTTATCGGTGCCGTGTCAAATGTACAGCCGTTTTGTCGATCCACTGCTGGATGAGGGCCTCCTCACACTGTGTCGGTCATGATGGTTGTTTGACCATACTTCACTACGCTGGACAGCGTGGGTTGAAGGGGTGGCCGGCCAAGGACCAGTTCCAGATATCGCTCGCCACTGATGTTAGCCGTGGCCAGGAATCAAATTCACTTTGTCGGGTTCATAGTGCAGTATGTGAGCTGACGCATCAATGATACCCCAGGGCAATATGATTAAATGCTTAAGAATTAAAGTTACCTTTTGTGTGCTGTGACTTATATCCACGTCCAGATCCTTCGACGATTCTCCATCAGTAAGTATTGAACTGTGATCAAAAAACTGCAAGAAAGGGTTTACATTAGTTTTATTTACGCTTTCATACACTTAACTCATTTGAACAATAACCCTGTGTAAGCAGCTTGCATGAATAATTCATGCCGTGGTTGGGAATTCAAGGATAAGGATACCCTCTCATGCCACTACTAGTGGAAGGCCCTCCGATAGAGAGAGCTCTAGAGAGTCCCTCTAGAGAGTCCCTCTAGAGAGCCCCTCTAGAGAGTCCCTCTAGAGAGTCCCTCTAGAGGGACTCTCTAGAGATTCCCCTCTAGAGAACCCCTCTAGAGAACCCCCTCTATAGAGTCCCCTCTAGAGAGGGACTCTCTAGAGGGGACTCTCTAGAGAGTCCCTCTAGAGAGTCCCTCTAGAGAACCCCCTTTAGAAAGTCGTCCTCTAGAGAACCCCCTCTAGAGAGTCCCTCTAGAGAGCCCCCTCTAGAGAACCCCCTCTATAGAGTCCCCTCTAAAGACGGACTTTCTAGAGGGACTCTCTAGAGAGTCCCTCTAGAGAACCCCCTTTAGAGAGTCGCCCTCTAGAGAACCCCCTCTAGAAGGGACTCTCTAGAGAGTCCCTCTAGAGAGTCCCCTCTAGAGAACCCCTGTAGAGAGTCCCTCTAGAGAGTCCCTCTAGAGAACCCCCTTTAGAGAGTCGCCCTCTAGAGAACCCCCTCTAGAAGGGACTCTCTAGAGAGTCCCTCTAGAGAGTCCCCTCTAGAGAACCCCTGTAGAGAGTCCCTCTAGAGAGCTCCCTCTAGAGAACCCCCTCTATAGAGTCCCCTCTAAAGACGGACTCTCTAGAGAGTCCCCCTCTAGAAAGAGTCCCTCTAGAGAACCCCCTTTAGAGAGTCACCCTCTAGAGAACCCCCTCTAGAGGGGACTCTCTAGAGAGGTTCTCTAGAGGGGACTCTCTAGAGAGTCCCCTCTAGAGAACCCCTCTAGAGAGTCCCTCTAGAGAACCCCCTTTAGAGAGTCGCCCTCTAGAGAACCCCCTCTAGAGAACCCCTTCTAGAGAACCCCCTCTAGAGAACCCCCTCTAGAGAGAGTCCCCTTCTAGAGAGTATGAATCCGCCAATATAAAATAATTACGGTAACATTTAAATGCACATGGTAACGTGGAGTGATATAAAATACATTTCTAAACTCATCAATGGTAAACAATGTGGTCTCCTAGAGTAACCAGCGAGCGCGAACACATTTCCTCACGCATGCAGAGCGTCCGTTGACATGTTTTGTATTCCCTTGCAGTGACTAGCTAGTTGGAATACCTCACAAAATGTACAATTGATTAAAATACTCGTTGGTTCTTTCGGTAAAGTCACGTAGGTATAAAATAAAATAAATCACGACGTTTCGATCGCAACACAAGCGGTTGTCCGCAGGCGGAAAAAAATATAATACAGCTGGATTATATTTTATATTTTATTTTCTACCTAGGCGACTTTACCGAAAGAACCAAAGAGTATGGATTTCTGCAGTCACGAAAGCTCCAAATCACAAATTACATCGTTTTGTTTCTAAGATGCTATTCCCACAGAATCGCACGGATGTTGGTACTGGTGGAAAGTATGTTTTTACCTTTGTCACAAATAAAATAATTCGGTTTAAGTTAGGCACATGAATGTAAACTGAAAATCCATTACTGGTGATTATACCAGATTACTGCACTCCATCTTGTTTGTCTTTCCCACATGCAATCACTATATTTACGTACATTTATTTCTCAGAACCCATATTGGGTCAGGCAAGGGGTGTACTTGGTTGAAACAACATTCAACAAGGGGTACATGGGCCAACAAAGGTTGGGAATCACCGCTCTAGATGGCATTTTGTTCTACTTCTCCATATCCGCCAGGCATCTTGGAAGAGGTGCAAGTCGCCACGCTTTACCCCACCGCATACCACCTCTGAACAAAGCTGCCCAAAATGTGGCCAGAGTTTGTACCTCGCTGAGCTGGGACAGCAGCTGTTGGCGACAGGCACACTTCTCCTGATAGCCAACGATGAACACCATCGTATCCTGCTGGTGCTGTTGCCTCTGCGCGGAACTCGACAGAAATGATTCTAATTGTTCCTGAAAATAAGTGCGATGATTAACGACCGGTAACTGATTATTTTTGTTTAGCGTTGTGTGAAAATTACGATAGCAGAAAACCAACACAAATGTCAGGTGAAGTATACTCCGGGTGTATATCTCCTTTCTCCCACGGCAGCTGCTGTGTGTGCTGTGCGCTCACCAAATTCTCAAAACACTCCATATTTGCCCTTTTCAAAGAATCCATGACAGCACGGTTCCCCAATTCAAAGGCCTCCATCGTCTGTCGAAAGAGAGCAAACACGGATATTTAGCTGGTCCAGAGAAAGCCATCATAGAAAAAAAAAACAGCGAATGTTATATAAACAATTATTTGCCATAAAAAATAGCTACCGAGCAAGCGAAGCCACTGTTTTCAAAGAAGACATGTTTTATTGACACTGCGCTAGCAGTGGTGCATAAGCACAAATAACGCAATCTTAACACATTTGTCAATAATGCTGCCCTAAATGGATAAACGAAACAAAGCATGTGATGTTTTTGCCAATAGCCTTTCTTCATAGGTCATCGAAATGATCTTTGTGCCGAGTTTTTTTTTTATTCACGTGTTTAAATTTTTGTTCGCAAAGTGCATTTCCCAAATACATTTACGCGATCACTCTACAATTTGACTTCAACGTCGTCAACACCGACCACTGCCAGCTAACGCACACCCAAAGCCATCGCAGCATTGAGAACGTACGTACGCGATCCACTCGAGTCCTCATCTTCTCCAGCTCCTGCTGCGTTTGATCCGCATGGCGAGCGAGTTTGACCAGGGCCATTCTCTCCATCACCGCCTGCACCTCCTCGCCCTCCTCTGGAGGCGCCGCGTGTCGAGAGGCGAAGTCCCCTGCCGCCACCGTGGACATGCACGCGAGGCCAGAGGACCGGCCGTGCTGGCCCAAGACGGAGGGACCCAACCGGGGGGCATTGTGATGCCCGCTGCTCTGAGCTGTGCGTGACCCAGGGCTGAACATTTTCAACCTTCCAGATAACTTCCCCGGGCATAGGTAACGCTGCAGTCCTGCCGATCGACGAACTAGATAGCTAAACCACTATCTCTAAAACATACCTGTTGGCATGAGCAAATACATCCCAATGACATATACAGTGACCAAGTTATTTATGACTTCTCTCACTTAATGTATTTGCTATTAGAGGCCAAAAGTAACGTTTTTAAAAAATATATATTGAACAGTTGTCCCAGCTCAGTGTTCAATATCGCAGAGAAACGGCGATGGCTTCGCGCACCAAAGTGAAACGCGTGTCCTTGTGAGGAGCACACGCCTTGTGGGGGCACAGTCTGACTGAGGAAACAAGACTAAGAGACCCCCTTTATCTGCCTGGAGAGGGCTGTGCCCGTGGTGCTTACACATGCCACTCGTGAAATTTCCAAGCAGTCACTGCACCAAGAGTCACCACTCCTTCACCCTTTAGCCGTGGTTGTCGTGGTGAAATATCTGCCTTTCTCAAAACACAGGCCACTGAGAAACATAGAGTGTGTGGTGATAACGCAATGAATCGTTTTTGCTGAAGCATCTGATGATTAAAAAGAAAAAAAAAAACACACATTTGTATTGAAATGCAGAGGCCACCGATTAATTTCGATCTTCCAACGTGGCAATTTAAAGAATGGGAACGTTTATTTAAATCCAATCGATCACTGCCCAAACAAGAGTATATATGGGTCCACCAGGCAGGGTGTGTGTGTGTGGTAGGATAAAGTGCGGCTAACTCCCACAACTTTCAATGATGCATGGTCAGCGTAGAAGAGTAGGCCTAAACACCCCCTAGAGCAGTGGTTCTCAGCCGAGGGCACACGGCAATGTCTCAGGGGGTAACGTGAGGTGCTTTATAAATGCGTGAGATCATATCATACACGAGTAATTGGTGAACAATCATGCACGAATCTGTCAATATTAAATAACTACGATGCATTTTTAAGTCCTACGGTAGCCTAGAACGATATAAAAGACTTTCTATAAACTCAATGATCGTAAAAAAAATGTGGTTTCCACGAGTAACCAGCGAGCGCGAACAAATAACATCGTTGCGTGCAGAGCGTCCAATTGATTTTGTTTTTCATTCGCTCGCAGTTACTGGCTCGTTAGGATACCTCCCAAAATGGAAAATTTGTTAAAATCTTCATACGTTTATTTCTCGGAAGCATGTTGGGTCAGGAAAGGGGCTGGTACTCGGTTGGAACTAAATTCAACAAGGGGGTACAGTTGCCATGAAAAAATGCTGCGAAACATTGCTCTAGATGGGCTCTTCAGAGCCCCCTCCACCAGAGGCCCTTCCACCAACAGCGGTGTGAGCAAGTAATTACCTGCATGCACGTTACATGTGATTGCTATTCTAAGCAAAACATATGAAAGGTGAAACACGTGTATTTTATTTACAATTTCTGTTCTCGTCTTATTTTAACCCCCCCCCCCACCCCCATTTTTTATTGCGTTTTAGAGAAGAGATAGCGATGTAGCTAGATGAGAGATGTGTACAAAAGATAGAGGTGCAATGAGATTAGAAAAGAGAGCTGCAGATGGGAGAAATGTAGTCAAGAGACAAAGATGTAGTGAGATGAGAAGACAGCTGAAATATTTGATTAATTTCATATATTTTATGTCAATTGACCTTTTATGTCTGTTAGGGTCTAAAATAGAGCTATTTGGTGCATCCCTTTTTTATTTAATCTGGGACCTTAAGCTGTTTGGGGCACTAAGCTTTTGCTTAGTTTTCTTATGCTGGAAGGTGGGGGAAATAAATGGGTTTTTATAAGCAGTAAATCCCCCTTAGCTTCTTGTGTGTGCTTTGTGAGAGATAGAGGCAAATCATGAGACGTGCACATGTCCACGTCCTTACGTGTTGCGCTGAATGTGAACGTGTCTGTGACAATAAGGGCAAAAGAAAATGCAGACTGTGGCGTTAAATGTGTTAAAATCATAGAGCGCGTTAAGTCAGAGACCAAATTGAAAGTGTCGAGGGGCGTTTGCGTAGTCATTGGTGACCAGGCTAAGACCATCGCATTTCTAAACTTGAGAAACCATTTTATTTAATCAGTGGATGCCAGGATTCGAGCCCTGAAACCTAAGCAACACTGACCTATTCCTCTTACCCAATACACACGGCCGTCACCAAGAATATAACATAATTCATTAATAATTAAACCACTACTTCAGGCTTATAATGAGATGCTCATTAGAGCAGAAATTTGCTTTGACTTTTAAAGATACATTATGGCTCTGACCATTGTAAACTATTATTTCAATGCACATGCACACAGGCTGTAGTACACATCTTTATTATATTATCAGAGATTTTATATATAATTCAACATACACATGTTATGATTTAATGGTACATGAACTGTCACATTCATTGAGTAAAGTATGATACCATATCAGAAGTGCAAAACAATTGGACAATCTTGGTACTTTGCCCTGCCACATGTGTATTAAAAATCATTACATACATTTGTGAAAAAAAATTCCCCCAAAATAGTGCATATAATACAAATGTTCATCATTAAGGTCTCTTCAACTGCCACCACCTCTTATAGTCTTGTGATTCAACAATCCATCTGGCACCTGCATACAAGCGGATTGCATCCCTCCATCTCTGTAGCAGACGTACTCTCGCATAAGCCCCTTCGTTTGGCTGATACTTTGTTAGTCTTGACCATTGGCCAATATCCCTTCTCGTATTGTGTCCTGCCCGAGCCCACTTAAATTGCTTTAACTAAAATATGTTCTCCATGTGCCCCATCATCATGTCTCTTACTTAAATTCCTAAAATACATGAAAGCCTACGTGTTAAAATACATTACTTCTTGCATTTTCTTCCACAACATCCAAGTTTTGGACCCACATGTAATGTACACTGATTTTAAACTTTTTTTTCTTTAGGCACATTTGTATATTCTTTTAAGTTTCCTAAAACCGCTACAAACTGCTCTTGCCTACTGGTTGATTCATCATTTCGCTCCCAGCCCGCCTTTAATAACTCGTAAAGTATCTAAATGCAACCATATCTCAAGACACTGTACAGTGGACAATATTTATTTTAAAAAGATCAAGACAGTCATTGACAGAGGAAACAAGGTCTTGACTCTGAAATTGTATAGGGCAGGAAGCAGACGATATGGATGTCTGGGAAAATGAAGCTCCAGACTATGAGGGCAGCAAGGGAAAACTGAGTGAAGGCTGACTAGGGTTTCAGTTGAAAGCTTTGATTGCTGAAGGGGGGAGCACGGGCATGGGAGTAGAGTAAGGAGACAATTATGTTCATTTGAGGTTCATTGATTTAGCTCTTGTCTGGTAAACATGCTGACATTGGGCAATGCTGGATAAGGTTTGGTCCAAATTCGGCCTTCATTAATATAGCAATGACCCATTACAGCATATCAACGGGGAAGGCTGTGATGGTGCAGTTGTGAAGGTAGGCACATGTAAGAGACAATTAAAGGCAAACCTGTTTATTTTATATCCGTATAATAACCCGTTTGCATCAACAAAGTGAGTATGACACGTTTCTAGCCTCGACACGTTGGTGAATGTATTAATGAGCATCAAAGCTGTAAATGTAAACTTCCCGGTATATTTTTTGCCACTCTGTTCCACTGTTATTTTTTTTTAAACAATTGGAAACCAACTGGAAGAACATTCAGAGCTCCCAGAAAGCAATTTTTGAAGGCCTCCCCATCTTCAGCTATTCCAGAGCCAGCTGTTCCAGCTCAAGCCTTGGCAGGCTTTGGTTTGCAGGCACGCTGGTGCACAGCCAGGCGGTCAGGCAGGAATGTGCGGCCGCAGACAGGGCATGGCACCAGCTGGCCCTGCGAGCTTTGCCACGCCGCTGCATTGGCTGCCTCCAGGTCATATGTCCCACTCGCTGCACACAGGCACAACACAAGCGTTAGCCAGATGGAGACCCTCACTACCATGGTGCATCATCATTATCAGCTCATGATCTATCCACAGTTGGATGAAAACCTCCCCAAGCCATTCCCCATGGTCCCGTGATGTCACAATTCATCACACTTCTGCATATGAACAGAACGCAACGCCCACTTCTCAAACTGACTGTCAGTTTGCATGCGATCCCTCTCCTGGCTGCCATATTGCAACCGGTCTCGTCAATCGCGCATCATCCCATCTAGCGATGAAGTGCTCTTTCCGAGCCAATTTTGGGTTGTTTCTGTGAACAATGTCTTTTTAATTCATGACATACAACTCGTGTTATTTGCACCATTTTGTGTCACCATCCATATTTCTGTTCCATGCATTATAACAGACAATGCGAAAATGTTCTTGATTAAGCACATGGGCATGTTGCTTTTCATGATCAAATTACATTAGGAAAACAGTGGTGTAGTGACTGGTAAAAGAAGAGACAAGTGATTTAGGAAAGTTAATGGTTAATTGGCTGAGTGGTGAGTGTATTTAATATTTATTGCTGCAAACATTACTTACATTTAATTAAGGCCACCTCAGGTTTTTTGGGCTCAGGCCGACGCATATTCTTGGGAAGCTTGTCATTCTCAATATGCCACTTCGTGAAGCATTGTGGCTCATGTATGGAGATAGATTTGGTTCCAAACTCTCGTCCACAGATGTAGCAGATAACCGTTTGCGGCTTTCGGATTACCTTGGGCTGGGTTTCAATAAAATATGTAAAAATTACGTAAATGTGCCTCATTTATAATGAATGGGAAAATAGAAATTCACTGCTCCCTCTCGACATATTTGATTAACTGTCACAATATGGAGTTACAATTCGATTCAATAATTCATTTCGACATTGTGCTGCATATAAAATCTATCACGAACCAATTATATACAAAACGTATAAACCCTAAAATATAAATTCTCACATGCACAATTCTATGCATGTATCATGAGCATAACAATACATTTTAAAGTAATGCGGTTACATGACAAATAAGGCTTTACTATATAAACAGAAATATATATATCATTACCCTACTTCAGAGAATTGTACATTCAGAGTAAACTATGTTCAGTATAAATTAAGACAACACGATATTTCACTGTATATACTTCACCGAATATGTTACAGCTAATCATCACCGTGAATAGGTAAAGCAGTATTAGACCATTTTTTTAATGAGTTAATTATCGCCGTGGCCACAGCATATAATGGGAGTTTGACCTGTACGGCCGCACTTGCTCCTGGTCCAGTGGAAGCAGGTGAAGCGCCAGGGCCTTTAACCTTGCAGCTGCGCTGGTGCACCTGCAGACGGTCTGGCGCAAACTTCCGGCCACAGTTAGAACATGGTACCAGCTGCCCCTTGAAGCTTTCCCAGGCTGCCTCATTGCTCACTGCAATTGCCCCGGTGCCCCCACCAGCCTGTGCCACCAGTGGCTTCTTTGGGACCGGCCGGCGTAACTCTCTGGGCAGTCGGTCATTCTCGTTTTTCCACTTCTCCAGGCACTGTGGCTCGTGGATGCTCAGTGACTTTGTCCCGAACTCTCGGCCGCAGATGTAGCAGATGAGAGTGCGTGGCATGGGAGCCTTTGTGGCTTGCCGCGATGCCGTCACACTCCCGTTCTTTTTGTTCGTGCCGCCTCCTAAGCACAGCCAAGGTTGCACAAGTAGGTACATGTACAGTACATAATGTGATGTTTTGTAAATATGTTGACAGTTAAAAAAATCCGAATGGCAAGTGCCAAAAATGTATGTTATAATTACCCGCTTAATGTATGTTATTATTGAACCACTTTACTTTTTTACTTTACTTCCATATTGTGATATAAAACAAATATCGAAACACCCAATGCACATTATGAATTAATGTATTAACCCTTTCCTTACCATTGTCTACTCCAAGCCTTTCGACACCAGGAACTTTGGGAGCTGAAACAACGGGCAAGGACGAACTCACGGTGCTTGAGGGTTTCCTGAAAGTGGCTCCACGGGACAGGGAGGGCCCTCTACGGCCACCATCCTTGGCAGCAATCTCCTTGGACTTAAAGCAGCTCCGTTGATGGATGGCAAGACGATCAGGCAAGAAAGTGCGGCCACAGTTATCGCATGCAACAAGCTGCGCCTGAGCACTCTGCCAAGCCAAGTCATTAGCTGCACCAACACCAGACTGAAAATTGATCAATTAATACAATTTCATTATTTACTTTTCATTAATGAACTTTCAAAAAGAGAAATATGCCATTATTGTCAAGGATAGCTAAACACTAAAGAAGCACATCTGTTACTGTTTGCTTATTCCTTTTTAAAATGCAATTTCATTTTTTTTCATATGGAATTTTAATTATAGTTAGGATTACTTCAAAAATATTGAATAGTTTTCATATAAATCTAATATTTAATGTAACATAAAATGTGTTTTATATTTTGTCAAACAAATGTATTTCCAATGCAGTGAATAGATGTTAGGTTTAAATAAGCAATATGTTTAGATCCATACAATCACAGTTATAATCAAGAGGTTAATGTAAAATATGCATATATTAAAGAACACAATCATTAGTGGCCGTTACAAGGAAACAATTGTCTTTTGGAAAATATTTTACTCAAGAGTTTTTTTGATGATTGATGTATAGATCACTTTAGATACATTTAGATATTACATGATACAAAACGTATAGACTATATATGAAATACTTTTTGTTTTACGAAATTATAGACTTTATAATACAAATTTTTTTCTGGGTGTGCTGTCTCTTATTACGAATTTAATTATAAAAAAACGCTTCCCTGCCTTTGTGTCCGTATTTGGCTTGTGGGGCTCTGGCCTCCGTAGGTGCTTTGGCAGCTTCTCATTCTCAATCTGCCACTTCTCCAGACACTTTGGCTCATGCAGAGAGATGGACTTTGAGCCAAACTCCCGACCGCAGATGTAGCACACTCTCATAGCTGACCGTCTCGGAGGTATGGTGGGCAGAGAATATGGCTTCTCCAAACCTGGGTGTGAAAACACCCCGTTGGGTCGCAGGGGAAGGGTGGTTGTCTTCGGCCTGGAAAGTCGCTTTCCGTGGTTTATTGCTTTGCCTGGTTCCTGTTGTAGCACTGGAGGAGCATGACTTGGCCCAGACGCAAGGATGTCTGGCGAATCGTGGCCTCTTCGTGATTTGCCAAATGCCTCTGTGGCTGAAGTGTTTTGCACTTTCTCAGAAGTGGCGACACTTGGATCTGCCTTGGTGGTTGCAATTGTTTTTAAGGCACCGCAGCTGCGTTGATGGGTAGGCAAACGTGCTCCCAGAAAAGGTTTCCCACAGTGTTTGCAAGGAATGAAATCGGCTCGTGGGCTTCGATTGGCTGCTTTCTGCTGAACAACTTCGACCAGGGAGGGCAAGAAGATAGGTTTTATTATAGGTATGGATCACTGCATTTGGGGTAGTATATTCTTTGGTTCTATTCGGTAAAGACATGTAGGTAAAAATAAAATAACAAAAATCACGACGTTTCGGCCATAACACAAGTGGCCTTCATCAGGTGAAGGGACCAGACTGTCCAGAGGACAGCATTGGAGTGAAGACAGCCAAGCCCAGGTCGCGTCCTTTAAGCTGTCACGAAAGCTTCAAATCTAGAATTTGGGGTAGTCTCTGAAGAGCTTTATCATTTTTCATGATTTCAATAATTATTTGCTGTTACTTACTTTTTTTTACCAAGATTCTCTAATTTTTGTAATATAACTTAAGGACGAATGTTTCTTACCTGCGTGAACAAATAAAATCAGTGAATAGTTACTGCATTGTGATCTTTTTTTGTTATTATACCATCAGAAGCAAGCATTATCTTAACGTTTTTACTGACTGTAATGTTGTTCTCTCACAATGTTATTATTTAAAAAAATACACAATATAAAATGTTCTTATAGTGCGATTGAATTAACTTGCTTAAACAGATCCTGAATACACTAATGTGCATAACAGCAGACAACCAAGACTTCTACAATCATACTTCATATGAATACAAAAAATATTCCTTAATTGTATTTCTATTTGCGGATCTCCTAACTATACACAATAATAGAATTACTAAACTGTATGCATTCTTAGCTTGACTGAACATCTTTAAAAGGGCCAGATCATTTCTGAAACTTAAACCCGAAGGTACTGTGCATGTAGCAAACAATGAGATCATTAAAGTATAATCAAGGCACATTCATCTCCAGCTGGATGGGGTATAGAGTTCCACTGAGGCTCAGTACCCGATTGAATCAAGTCCCTACTTGTTTTAGGGCACGTTTCCTTTTTAAAGGGCTTGTATTATCAACAGTATCTTAGCCTGTGGCAGGAAAGAACTTGTGGCATGTTTAATCTTCACTGGCGACAAAACACACACAGCGACATGTTTATTGTCATGTTTATATCTGCAGGTAACCTATTACAAACATGTCAAATACGCTGGTGACCAGCTCCATGCCAACAAAGCAATATATAGTGAATTTAAATTTTCCAGTTTTAAAAGTGTCAGCTTTATTTACCCTTTCTAATGGTTTTAATACATTTGACAGTCTCACACACATTTTACAATGGACAATAATGACGGTATATTTGCTATTAGTGTCATGCCGACATTGAGTATTGAATGGCAACTTAAATATAGCAGTTCCTTCAACACATTGCCTTCTCTTGTTTTCATTTGAACCAAAAGACGGTGAATAATGTGGACTAGTCAATGGCTATTCACAGCTTCCCACAGACGTGGCGATTCATGTGAATCTCTAAAGTGGCATTAGTAACATAACAACATTTGAAAGCCTAATCCTTACGTGAAAATGTAATTTTAACAGCTGCTCAGGTGACTTTCAGCAGCTGTTAATTCAGGGCGCAGCGCAATAAATCCATTCCAATACCGCGTCCTGCCTTCCATAACTCCCACAGACCTACATACTACGATAAAACACATTTAAATCACTGACATTTAACGCTTTCAAATACATGTTTTAAAAGGTGTAGTTACCGAGTCTTCTTCTTTCCCGATGGCAAGGTTAGTGGAATTTGCTAAATAATGCGTGAGCCATTTGCCTCAAGCAGTTCTGAAAGTTTAACAGTTACGAGACGAAATTCTCACCTTTGATGATCTAGTACATGTGTTTTTTTTAATGTACATCATTTTATTTTAATGTAATTGTTTAACCGGTGTGGGTGGGGGCTGCGAGGGCTACCTTGGTGGGCAGCAGATCCAATGCAGAAAACACAACCGCTGTTATGCTGTACTACGGCCCCGTTGACAACCAACCGGCATCGACCCATCGCAGGTGAAGTATGGTTAAATATCAACAACAACAACAACAACCGCCAAGTGGCGGTGATGTCACCACGGCGCTCGTGCCAGGCTAGGTGCACTCTGAGGCCACGTGGAGTGTCGAAGGCCCGCTGGTAGGAAGGTCACGGTACAGACCCAGCAGGTGCCAAGGGGGGGGGGGGGGGGCTATGAAGGCCCATTCCTCATCCAGCAGTGGATAGACACTGTACTTGTGCGAACCCCATCTTACCTTTGGTCTTGCGGTCACTCATGAGTGCTGCCGAGTGGACCCCACCAGACTCTCTCTCTCTCTCTCGCCCTACAGTGGCTGCTTACTCAATAAATAAAGCGTGTCTCTTAGTGAAGACAACCAAATGGGCCTACCGGCATCGCCACAGACAGCCTCCTCCTCCTCCAGCTCCGGCAGCCGCATCCCTTCTCCCGGCACATGTTGCGCTCACAATGCGTGCAGTAAAGGAGTGGAGACGTGAAGGCGGTGGAGAGTGGCGAGGCGTCACGTCGTCGTGGTGGAGGTGGAAGAGGTGGTGGAGGTTACTAGTGTTAGCGAGGCGTCACGTCGTGGTGGTGGTGGTGGTGGAGGTGGTGGTGGAGGTTACAAGTGTTAGCGAGGCGTCACGTCGTGGTGGTGGTGGAGGTGGTGGAGGAGGTGGTGGTGGAGGAGGTTACAAGTGTTAGCGAGGCGTCACGTCGTGGTGGTGGAGGTGGTGGTGGTGGTGGAGGTGGTGGAGGTGGTGGTGGAGGTTACTAGTGTTAGCGAGGCGTCACGTCGTGGTGGTGGTGGAGGTGGTGGAGGAGGTGGTGGTGGAGGAGGTTACAAGTGTTAGCGAGGCGTCACGTCGTGGTGGTGGAGGTGGTGGTGGTGGTGGAGGTGGTGGAGGTGGAGGAGGAGGTTACTAGTGTTAGCGAGGCGTCACGTTGTCGTGGTGGTGGAGGAGGTGGTGGAGGTGGTGGAGGAGGTTACAAGTGTTAGCGAGGCGTCACGTCGTGGTGGTGGTGGAGGTGGTGGTGGAGGTGGTGGTGGTGGAGGTGGAGGAGGTTACAAGTGTTAGCGAGGCGTCACGTCGTGGTGGTGGTGGAGGTGGTGGTGGAGGTGGTGGAGTAGGAGGTTACTAGTGTTAGCGAGGCGTCACGTGGTGGTGGTGGTGGAGGAGGTTACTAGTGTTAGCGAGGCGTCACGTCGTGGTGGTGGTGGAGGTGGTGGTGGAGGTGGTGGAGTAGGAGGTTACTAGTGTTAGCGAGGCGTCACGTGGTGGTGGTGGTGGAGGAGGTTACTAGTGTTAGCGAGGCGTCACGTTGTCGTGGTGGTGGAGGTGGTGGAGGAGGTTAGTAGTGTTAGCGAGGCGTCACGTTGTCGTGGTGGTGGAGGAGGTGGTGGAGGAGGAGGTGGAGGAGGTTAGTAGTGTTAGCGAGGCGTCACGAGGTGGTGGTGGTGGAGGTGGTGGAGGAGGTGGTGGTGGAGGAGGTTACTAGTGTTAGCGAGGCGTCACGTGGTGGAGGTGGTGGAGGAGGTGGTGGAGGAGGTTAGTAGTGTTAGCGAGGAGTGAACGCGCCACGCGGACTCGATGAGGGCCTAGCTTTGGCCGCAAGCTGCTGCGGCGTCGGGGGTCGCCATGGCGACGCGTTCATGACGACCTGGCGCGACGTCACGCACGCGACGCGTCATGGGGTGGGGGGGCGAGGGAGGGGGTGGTGGGGGGGATGGTGGGGTGGTGGTGGGGGGTGGTGTTGTGGCTGACCTTAGGGAGCGGTAGTGCAGCGGTTAGCGCGCTGAGAGACGAACTCGGCTACCCGAGTTCGATTCCTGCTCACGGCCAACGCCAGTGACGAATATCTGACCCGGTCCTGGGCCTCCCCTAGGTCGACTCAGCCCCAAATGAGTCCCTGGTGCGGTGTGTAGTAAACATCGCCACTGGGGAGACAAAGGCGGTCGGGCGTGGTGCTGGCCACCCACCCCCTCGTGCGCCGTGCCGACCTTCAAAGGTGCTGCTCGCTAACAGCACTTGCCCCAACAGTCTGTTGAGGCTACACGGGGGAACTTGTGACATTGTGCGAGAAGACGAGACGGACTGATGTGGTACACAAGGATGTGGAGCTGAGTGGACTTGCCCATGACCGGCACCAGCGGCGTCAAGATGTGCCTCTGTGGAGAAGGCTCGTGAAGGACGCTGCTGTGGAATTGGAGGCAGTCGCCCTCCAGCAACAACAACAACAACGGAGGACAGAGGAGCGAGGCTCACATCAACGAGCGGAGCGCCGGGCGGGTAAATCTGAGCGAGCTGTCACAGTAGGGGGCACATCTGGTGCATGTTCCAGACGTCTCAGTTAAACCCATGGCACCTGGGTCTGTCCCGTGTGACCTTCTACCTGGCCTCAAAGTGCACCTAGCCTGGCGCAGACGCCGTGGTGACGTAATCGCCACTTAGTGGTGAACGGCGGATGTTGTGTTTTGGGGCCGTCCATAAATGACGTCACGCGATTTTGGACGATTTTTAACCCCCCCCTTCGTCACACGGCGTCACAAAAAGTTAGACGCCCCTCAATTATGACGTCACAAAGCTCTTCCCCCCCTCCCCCCCAAAAAAAACCTGCTTCAAATTACTTTAAACTATTGTCATTGTAGTGCGTATTTAACGTGGCGCTGCACTCTGATGTTGTAGGAGAAAACATTTATTAAAAAAGTATATTTAATTAAATAGAACGTGTTGTCTATTTATTTAAAGTTGCGCATTTTGATGTGACGTCACATTTCTCAACCCCCCCCCCCTCGTCACACATCGTCACAAATGTCTTTAATTGCCATTTGATATAGCTTGACTGGCATTTGGGAAGTGTCCGATATATTGACATTAGTTGATTTAAATGCTGCTATTTTTCCTTCTTCCACTTCATAGAATTCGAAAATATTACAATTTTATTTACTTCACTTTACAATTTAAATGAAATGCGGCGTGACATGTTGGTCAATGGATGCGTGGTTTTGCAAAGAGAAAATATACGCGTACTGTATTTAAATATTTATTGGAAATGCATATGCTGTGTCTTTAAACAAGTGGACATACTTTTCTGATGAGGCCATGATGTCCGTTTTAATCCACATGGTGGCATTGTAGGACCGTAAGACCAACATTTAAAACGTACTTGCACAGACTCTGTATTAACGTTGTTGTGGAGGCTAAAAGTAACAACATAAATAAGCAGACAATTTAGCTTTCCATAGTTTCCTTATGTGTTGTGGTACTCGTATTCTCCACAATAAAGCTAATGATTACTTTGTTATGTAGAGACCAGTTTGCATCAAACTAGAATCCTATTTAACAGTTGCTGTATTTGGGATTTGTAACAATCCTCAAGATAACGCGGATGTGTTTTAGGGTGGTACTGTGTTCGACAGGATGGCCAACGTTCCGTACCTCGTGAAGAATAACATTATGTACACGGAATGTTATTTGTGCTTTTTGTGCTTTACGAGCAGTATGCACACCCGTTTGAAGTGACCGTCTGTCCAGCCAGCCAAACTTTTTTTTTTAATATACGCGTATTAAGTTCCCGTCGTTGAACAACAGTCCTCCCCCCACCCCCAACGTCCTCATTTCCCCACCCCTACGTACCCTCTCTCTCACACATGAGAACCGCCAGGCACCCCGTCCACCCACAACTCCCCCGTTTGCCCCATCAACCCCGTCCCCCTCCTCTTGCGCAACTCCCCGTGCCCCCCTCACCCTCCGACAGGCCCAACGCACCCCCCACCCGCATTTCCCACACGCGCACCCCTTCCCCTCTGCGTGGCATGTGGCCCCCAGCCAGCCAGAACGTGCGTTGGGCAGTGCGTGGCCAGCCAGCAAAACTTTATAAAATAATAATAATAATAGAGTTCAAACCAGCAAATACAATATCGTATGCGATATTCTTGTTTCGGACAGCCACTCCGGGAAGTGCGGGGATGAGTAAGAGGCCTGGGGATTCAAAAGAGAAGGAGCGAGACAGGGAAGATGTGAAGGAGATGGTTAGGGGTGGACAAGAGTGTGTGGATGAGAATTGGGAGTTGCAGGACAATAGAAGCACGTGCTGGGGATAGCGGAGTTGCAGAACAATAGAAGCACGTGCTGGGGATAGCGGAGTTGCAGAACAATAGAAGCACGTGCTGGGGATAGCGGAGTTGCAGAACAATATAAACCCGTGCGGCGGAAAGTGGACTTGCTGGAACATAAACTGGCTTCTCAACGAGACACGAGTGAACCTAATTTTTACAGTGTACAGCATGCATATTGTATATGTTTTCGTGTCTTTATGAATGTAAATTTGCAGTGGAATTTTTTTTGTAGCAGTTTTAAAGTTATTTGTACTTCTTCCGGAGCTTTATTTATATACCTTTGCTTTTTGTGCATTGTGATGATTTGCACTTTTTAAGCGTTGTATGCTTATATAAGAGATTGCATTCTTTTCAATCATCATCTGAGATGTCCACTTCTGGATAAAGGACTCCCAAGGTCAATGCTATCCCTCCTCACGGTTCTACAATACAACAATCCATCTAGCTCGTGCACATACGCTTATCTTATTGCTCTATCTCTGCTGTAGCAACCTCTTGGGCATCTCTGCTTTGGCTGGTATTCTGTCACGAGAATAGTTATCACACCTGTCAATGTGTCATGTCCAAGCTCACATTTATTAAAAGTCAAGCTGATTTCTCAAACATGTGTAGTGACATCGGGGATTTCACTGTGTGGTGCCGGCCCGGGAGGGCCGTGGCGTGCGATGTCCCTACATCGCGGACAGCACCGTGTGTGTTGCTGAGTGAGGCCGGCTCTAGCACAGCACGGCGTCCAATGCACCATCATCGCGTACACCCCTTGGGTGGGTGTAGTACCAGCCCTAGCGGGGCTTGGTGAGCGCTGGGATAGCGCAGGCACCACGCATAGCGTGTAGTGCGGGCTCCCACCAGGGGGAGTGGGAGAGTGTCAGCCCAGGGGCAGGGTTGCCCCGGGCCATGGCACTCTGGTTGCCCCCGTAGACATGTGATCCGGAGTGTCCACAGAGAGGCCCCCAGATGGGGGGGGGAGGCTAGGGGGTGATCACGTGTCCGCGGAGAGCTCTCGAGAGGGATCGAGAGGGAGCTAGAACTCTCGCGAAGGTGGGCGGGGCCGAGGGGAGGATATAAGGTGGGTCCCTGAGAGGGACCGGGGTCGCTTCGTTCTACAAGCTGGAAGCTCTACGTCCTATGTCTGAAGAGGCACCAACACATGGCCGGGGACCCGAGTGAGGGTCCGATCCATCGTAGCCGTAACTCCTATGTGTAGTTGGCTGGCTGGTCAGAACCCGAGGCTGTATCTGGTGACATAGTTCACAGTTCCATTTATAGTTCCATTTATTAGGTATAGCCCTGTGAGCCATTCGGCTCTTGAATCGGGTGCAACTGCAACAACCAAAAAAACAAAAACATGAACAAGAAAACATCTTAGAGTGATTATGTGACTGTGCAAACAGAAAATAAAGGGGCAGTTACTCCTCTGTATATACGTGTTGTGTAATAAATGTGTTGCCTCTGAAGAATAATGTCTGCGACTCAGTTGGACTCACTACGCATGTATTTGTGCTCCGATCATGTATTCATCGTTCTGTATCTTTGTGTAATCCTAACACCCTCTCCAAACTTCTTTGTACATATTACAGATCTTGCAATTTCTTCATCAGCATCTAGGTTTCTGATAGACATAGGAGGTATTATGGAGAAATAAGAAATACTGTACTGTATCCTTTATGCATAGTAGTAAGTTGGTTTTCAAGTAAAAATTTTAAGCATTTTCTCTTTATTTAATATACATGTTTTTATAATCATTTTAGAATTTCAGACGAAACAGTAAATCGAGTAAACATTTACAGTGTTTTTGGGGGGTGAGTTTTTGATAAACAATGATTTGTTTTGGTATCAGGGGTTTGTTAGCTCTGTTAATTGGTTAAAACAAAAACGAAGAAACCCTCTACAG